GTTTGACCAGCGGTTTCAGAGATATGGAGCAAAGGACGCAAAAAACAGAAATCGATTTTTTGAGAGTACGGAGCATTCTATTTCAAATCGTAATAATGGTGAGAAGTGGAGTTAGAATAGACAGGCCCAGTCGTTTCGGAGATACAGAGCTGAATGTGCCAAAAATGGCAGTTTTTGACAAAGCATTTGATTTGAATGATTTAAAAAATGTAAGAATGTAAAAAAAAATATTTCATTTTATTTAATTCCCAATTTTTTTTGAATATCAAAAATAATACGGTATTTAAATAAAAAAAAATTAACCTTGCAATTCACATAATTCTCAAAAATATGGGATAAGTTCCTTCTATAATTTATATTTGTTTATCTATGGTTTCTTCATTCTAACACGGCTGAGTCCAGTTTCGTTTCTTTACTTTCCATGTAAACATATATATTTTGTCTATCAAATGTCTTAATAGAACAGCCTTATTAAAAATTTAGTTAATACGAGTAAAATATTTTTTCCGAAACCGCTCTATTTGGAGGTGAGTTTTGTGGTAAAAAATGATCATATGCACATCAAATTATCCTTGATTTTATAGAGGTTCTAATAATAAATACAAATTTCGTTTACATTTTTAACTTCCCGTAGGGTAAGTTATTGTAATGGGCCGAAAATCGGAATTGAAAATTTTTACATTTCTCGACGTTTTGAATGTTTCTGAACATTTTGGCATACTTCGGAAAAAATGGATGTGTGTGTGTATGAATGTATGGATACAAATTTTCGCCCACGTTTTCGGGCGTACGGATCAACCGATTTGAATGGTTTAAAAAATATTAGATTCCTATTGATAAGGAGATGTGCTGATTAGTTTTTGGCAAAGGCAGGTCCAGCAGTTACGGAGATAAGGAGCAAAGAGTGCAAAAAATAGAAATCGAGTTTTTGAGAGAACGGAGCATCCGATTTGAATGATCTAAAAAACATTCAATTAGTAATAATTAGGAGAAGGGGTTTTCGCAAAGGCAGGCAGGAAGGAGATACAGAGCTAAATGTACAAAAAATGGCAGTTTTTGAGAGAACTAAGCGTCCGATTCAATTGATTCAAAGAACTTTCTGCTTGTCTTAACAAAATAATTGATTTTGGAAAAAAAAATTTTGTTTCAACATTTTTTTTTTTTTTTAATTTTTGTATATCGAAAATAATTCAGATTTTATTTTTAATTCTGACTATAGTTCTAATATACTTTAAACAAATAATTTCAACTCTGCAATTCAGTTTATATAATTCTTATAAATATTAGACAATGTTACAATATTTAATAATAATCTATTTGAAAACATTCAATATTCCTCGAACATTTCGTTACGGTACGGGAAGTTCCAGCAATTTGCCTTAGGGCACGATGCCACCCACCCCACTAGTTTTAGATTCCATACCAAGATTTTTAGTTTTTTGACAGAACAGATCAAGCGATGTGAATGATTCAAAAAACATTTGGTTCGCATTAACCGCGAGTCTGCTTGTTTCTGCCAAGGTCCAGCCATTTCGGAGGTTTGGAGCGCAAAAGGTGCAAAAAATTGTCAATGGTGCAGCTTTTGAGAAAACGGTTTGTGTTGACGGTGGAAACAAATGATTAGTTTTTGATGAAGCTAAGTTCAACCTATTCAAAAAAATCGATTTCTTTATATTAAAAAAAATCTCCACTTTAAAAATGAATTCAAAAAGTTTGAATTGTTGAAAGTTTTAAAGTTTTCAGCAAAATCAATTTTCAATATGATGCACCACTAGTTATTAGTATTATTTTATTTATTACCAACAATATTATTATGAACTTCCCGAAGTTTAGAGTTGTCTCACCGGATTTGTCATATCCGACTTCCCTAAACTCGTCTGTGAGCTTTCTCGTCTCACAGGCAGTTTTATGACCTTATAGATATACGGTTTTTATCCAAAAAATACAAAAATATTACTTCAAAGTTACAGAACAATAAAATTGTGTTCAAGTGTGAATAGCTCCAATGTATAATTTATTGAATAGTAAGGGGTCATATTTCTAACTTCGACAATCTTTGGCCGTGAATGACGGCAATCAGGAATATACATACCGAAACAAACTACATTTAATCTGGTTTTTCCATAGCCTGAAATAATATTACTTTAGAGTGCAAAATATATCAGTGACGTCAATAGTATTTAAGCAGCAAAAAATATATAGTATTAAATTTTTACTTTTACACAATTATATAATTGTAAAATAATCAAATTGAATTTGATTCACAAGTTTTACGTTTTTACTTTGGTCAGCACTGTTAAAATTACGAGTCATTGAGTCGATCATGTGGTCGACCGAAAAATTTTACAACACGTCATTCATTTGTGAATTTTTTAGAAAAATTATTTTATTGATATTTTTCAATTTTATTTTATTCATAAATTTTCATTTCAAAAATTAAATGGCATTTGACAAATCCTTAGATGCATAAACAACGCACTATAGCACACATTTGTGTCGAGTATTTCGGTTTCAAAATGTCGGAGTCGTGAAGTTGTTAAGCGGATATAACTCCTCCCTGAAGCGGAGTCAAATCCGAGTCGATCCGGCCTCGGATATGATAAGCCCATCTCTAATTCGATGTATATTCGATGAGGAATTTGTGCGACTTTCGGTCGAGCCGTTTCTTTGTGATTTGTTGAAAAGTATACAACTTTTTTGTCCATGTTTTAGCTCACAATCCTGATTCTATTTTAAAAATTCAAAAACTGTTCGAAAGATATTGGTTGGGAATGATAGTGATTAGTTTTAGGTAAAAATCGATTGAGCCTTGTAATTAACTGTACCGATTTTTATGAAACTTTTTTTGGCGATAGATAACACAGTCTTATTGCAGCTGTAGGACAAGTAGTATAATTTTAAACATTCATCGAAGTTTGAAAAAATATTCTAGTCAAAAATTGTGTCGAACGTCGCTTTTGCGAATCAAGTCAATTAGAAATGGCTTTGAGGTTATCAAAAAAGTAAATGAACAGTCTGAAATGAAATGGAATGTTATCATTCATTTAAATCATTAAAAAATATCTAGAACTATGTACATGTTTTACGTAATGGTGATAGTATTTTCTCATAGCTCATAATAGTTCACAAAATAATTTCAGTTTTTTTAAAATAATATTTTGACGTTTTCCATGAAAATTAACATGGGTGATAAAGTTCATGCACTACGAAAATTGGTTGAAAAATCAATTAAAATTTAGAATAATAGACTTTAATAATAAAATCTAGAATAATAGTATATTAGGAAATTAAAAAATTATAAAAAAATAAGTTCTGAAAAAAATTGAAAATTTTGAATTTATTTTAATTGTTGGAATTTCATAATTTTTCAAACTTGGATAAATTTTTAAAATTAAACTACTTGTTGTAGGGCCGTAATACTTCAGGATGTTCTATAAAATGTTTCATAAAAATCGGTAGAAAATTTTTGTCAACAGTTAATTACAAGAAAACGGCTCGGTCGACCTTTACCAATAACCTAGTGGTGTATGTATGGCATCGTGCCTTAAGGCAAATTGTTAGAACTTTAATGAAATATTCGAGGAATATTAAATGTATTCAAATAGATTATTATAAATAATGTAACTTTCATTATTTTTATTTTATAAAAAGTAAACAAACAAAACTTAATCAATCGGATTTAAAATGAAGAACATTGTTAAGTATTATATAGGGGAAGCACGGACATAAAGACATTGTGTTTTGTTTCTTTGTGATATTTATTCATTTAATGATATTATACCCAGTCTCAATCATTTTTACTCGTCTTTCACCAGTAATATAGTATTTTAATTAAAACCCAAAGCAAACAAGTGCAGCGACCACAGGACGATCAGTTCGACTTCGCACACAGGAAAGTTACGAGCCAAAATCCTTACAAGACGTCTCGAAAATAATATCTAGCAGCACATGAGCAAAGACCAATTTGGTTTCAGAAAAGGAGTCGTCAGCAACGCTATTGGAATATTGAGAATAATGGCGGACAGATGTCTCGACGTTAACGAGAACTTATGCTTCTGTTTCATAGATTGGCAGAAAGGGTTTGACAATGTCAACTGGAGTAAGCTCATGGGTATTTTAAAATCTATTAACGTCGATTCGAGAGATCGCAGGTTGATCCAGAATCTGTATATGGGACAGAAAGTAAAGGTTCGGGTGAAACAGGTAGATACAAACAGTGTTGAAATAGGTAAAAGAGTGCGGCAAGGATGCTGCATGTCACCGATCATATTCAACCTGTACGGAGAATGGCTCGTCAAAGAAGCGCTTGAAGACACTGGAGGAGATTTTTCAATTGGAGAAAAACCAAACCGAGCTGCAAAACATGATAAACGGAATCGCCGAAGTTGGTAGAATATACGGAATGGAAATCAACATCGACAAATCGAAAGGATGAGAGTATCAAAACGAGATGATTCTCCAAAGATAACAGTAGTAAATCGAGAATTCAAAAATGTTGATCATTTCAAATCACAAAAAGCATCGCAAGCGCCAAGGCGTTCACGAAGAAGAGAACGCTACGCACAAGAAAATTAAGTCTCAACTTGCGGAAGAGATTGATAAGGTGCTTTGTCTGGAGCATAGCTCTGTACGGATCAGAGATATGGACTTTATGAAAAGCCGTCAAAAACTATCTGGAAAGTTTCGAAATGCAGTGTTGGTGGCGAATGAAGAGAATAAAGTGGACTAACAAGATATAAAAAGAAGAACTCCTGAGAAGAGTGAGCGAAGAACGATTGTTGTTTTTTATCAACATTAACATTAACAAGACATAATTAAATTGTTATTCAAATTTTAGGTAGCATAGATAAACAGGTCATGCATAAAAACTGAGTAGTAACTATCTTATAATAAAATAACAAATTGCTTTCAGGAGACATTTATTGATATACTATTATTACTGTTTTTTTGCCTTGGCAATAACAAGTATAAAAATCATCGATGCAGTAATAAATTCACATTCAATCAGAATCACACAAACAAACATATTTGTAAAATCGTAACTATATCATAATTACAAATTAATAGAATTAACAATAAAAAAGAATTATAAAAAGTGTGAATTTTTGTGAAACAAAGTATATTACTTACCTTATATTTCTGATTATGAAACAAAGTTCAATTCTGAGGCAAAATTATCATTCTTGAAAACATACCATAAATAAAAATCAATTTTTTTTAAAACTAGTTTGAAAGTATTTTTCAATTTTCTGTCATTTTTGTGACTTACAATTCGATTTTTGAGTTCTGGTTCATTTTGTTTGTGTGGTCCAATAATTTGCACACTACTCTCAAAGAGTTTATAAGCATCGGATAAAGCACATAAAATATAGCAATTATTTTGTTTGACCTTTGGGAATAAGATACTTTTCAAATCTAATTGCAGAATATCATATCCTAAACTTTCCTGCAAAATAACAATAGAAATTTTTAACAGTCATTGGAGGATTAAATGTTTTGCAAATACTTACATCATTATGTGCTGAATGAACAGAAGCAATTGCATCTTGAATATTGTTAAAATTTTCGTTGTTAGATAAATTGTTTGATAAGTTTAATAAATAAATACTCGATTCCAAGCAATTTTCATGATGCTCTCCATTAAAATACCTAGCAGTTAATGTGTACGCTGATAATACATTTATAATATTATATTTCACTACAGCAGCTGGTCGATGTGATGTTGAAATTTTGATGTCTATAATATTTTTAATAGGTGGATGTTCCAAATTTGTTGCAGCATCTTCCGAAATTTCTTCTATAAGTCGTATCTCCTGATCACATTCCCACCAAGCATTCCATTTTGGAACCAAATTATAAATTTCTTTGGAATTAAGTAAACTTTGAAATTCTTGATGTTCATCATTGTTCAAAGCATTCCAAACCAATTGTGCATCATTTAAATCACAATTGGACAATCTCTCGGCTAAATTTGCACATACTTCCTCATCAGAATCAAGCAATTCCTGATCCTCATCAGTTTCTTCATAATCACGATTCATGCAATATAGCATCTGCTTTATGTTTTTTTGTGGGCATTTATTCACAGTACTTAATTCTTTGATAACACATTCTTGATAAAATGTCTCAGAGCATTGTAGATGCTTTTCTGATCTGTAGCAAGTCAATGAGCAGTATAATTTGTTACATCGCGGGCAACAATATTTACTAGAAGATTTATTGCATCTGTTTTGAAACAAATATTTAGTTTAAAATTTCAAAGCTTATATATATATATATATATATATATATATATATATATATATAATCATTTGTTGTTCATTGAGTTGATGTTCATTTGAACAACTACACTTTTAAAATTTGTTCTTGTTACAAACTCTGATGTAATCTGTAATTAGTTTTAATGATGATGCCTCTTGACTACATTTTATGCAGTTATTAAAAGATTAATATTATCAAAACCCACACAAGAGATTATCAGAACAAATCATTGCACTATCTAAATCAACAAATAAGGGATCATTCAAGTATTATGTGAGCAGATTTATTACAATTATTTACCCCCCCCTATCCCCCTTGTCAGCAAAAGGAATCAAAGCTCTTACCCAAAATAAGCAAATCAATAACCCCCCGCCCCCCTATAGTGCTTACGTAACACTAGAATTTGATTTGTAAGTTAATTCCATGAAATCATTAATGCATTGCCTCAATTCAATAACAAGCCAGCTAAAAAAAATGTTCATTGCGAGAAAGATACAGTTGAGGTTACTGTTACGAGGATTATTTTATCTGCTGTGGCTGCAGGAACATAGATATAGAAAATTGAGCTCATAAAATTTATAGTATGTTCGTTTTTAATTTTTGCAAGCAAATCGGTACAGATATTTTATAAGACATCACATGTGATACACAAGTAATTCTTATGATACATTAATAATTATTGCAATTATAATCAATGACCAAATCATCATTACAATGCTTTCAGCTCGTATTTGTCTATGTATATTTAATTGCAATGTTTTATAAAGTATATTATTTATAACTATTTATTTAATTATAAATTAATTATAATATATATATATATATATATATATATATATATATAATGTGTATATGTATATATACATATATTTGGCCGTATGTATATATGAATCAAATGTACTTTATAAAAGATTTCAATAAGACAATATCTATATAACTTACAGTTCACATAACGATATCGATGTCATCATTAGTCCGCTTGCACATAAATGTTCATGGAAATACCTTACAGCAAAAGCATATTAGTTTTAATGTTTTAATTTTATATCCATATAGCGAAATTAGTAATTTTATTTTTGGTAAAGTTGTTGTTTTATGTTGTTAACCTAAATGTGAGTGGTTTATTGACAAACTTTGACAAGAGGGTATCATGCGTACATAGAGAAAAGAAGAGTATGCTTAGAGTAGAAAGCATGAAAAAATCCGAAGAGCAAAAACTGCAAAAACACCTGGCGTTGACAACATTAATATTTACACACTTAAAAAACTTACCTACAAAGCCCACTGTTTCATAACAATCCTTAAACGGTATAATAAAACTTAAAACATATCCTGATCAATGCAAAATTTCTAAAATCATAATTATTCCGAAACCTGGTAAAAATCCGAATGAAGTTCAAAATTATAGACCGATTAATTTACTTCCAATGTTGTCTAAAATATTTGAGAAGTTCCTAATTAGTAAAATAAAACCCTTTATTTATGATGACAACATAATCCTTGAGCATCATAGAATTGTCGACATAGAAAATTCATAGAATTGTCGACAATATAAACAAAGCTTACCAAAACAAGAACTACTGTTCAGCTCATGTTTACTTATCTATGGTTCAGCTGATTTTCTCGATATTAGTCTGGCTTTTGAAACGGTGTGGCACCCCGGTCTACTTTACAAAATCAAAAATGCACTACCGTTTGATATACACCTGATCAAACTTAAATTAAATAAAATCTTATCTGAAAGGTAGAACATTCTTCGTTAGTGTAAGGGGTGAAAAATCCACATCACATCCAGTCAGATCGGGAGTGCCTCAAAGTAGTGTTATTGGGCCACAATTATATCTCATATGCGGACCTGCCACAGAAAGATGATATTTTGACAGCAACATATGCAGACGACGCAGGCACTTTGGTAACACATGAAGATCCCATAATTACATAAAAAATGCTGCAGGATCATATTGACAAGATGCAAAAATGGTTAAGATTGTGGAGAATAGAAGTAAACAGCAGCAAGTCAAAACACGTCACTTTCACTGTTTGCGAAGGGACTTGCCCTGCAGTAAGTTTTAATGACGAAGTTATAGATGAAACAGATACAGTCAAATATCTAGGTTTGCTCCTGCATACAAGACTAACCTGGAAAGAACACATTAAGAAAAAAAGGAAGCAGCTTGAAGAAGCTAGAAGATATTATTGGCTCCTCGGACGAAAATCAAAACTTGACACGCATAATAAAATTTACCTCTATAAAGCCATCATAAATCATTTTGGGCATACGGGATACAGCTATGGGGATCAACTTCCAACTCAAATGCTTTAATAATTCAAAGATTTCATTCAAAGGTAATACACAAAGACACCGGCACAAGCTCAGTTAAAGATGAAATGAAAAATCATCTAGCTGATCACCCAAACTTGCTCGCCAGAAAACTTTAGAACAACTCTACCAGGGCCAGATTGAAAAGAAAATTTCTTCTGCATTAATCAGCAATAGATAAGACTTTCGACAAATCACTGGGAATGGTCAGATGATTTGTATTTTTGCCAAACCCTTTATTTAATTTATGTCAAATATTCTACTTGTTGTTCGTTTCGGGACAGTTGTAAAAATTATTAAAATAAAAAAATAAATTAATCAGATGATCCATTCTGCTATTTTTGAACTTTTTGGACTTGTCTTTGCCAAAAACTAATTAACAAGTCTCCCTTCATTCGTATCAGTAGAAATAACTTAAAATAACTTAATAATTAACTTAAAATGTTCACAAACCTTTGAAACGTTAAGATATACTAACAAAATTATTAGGATGTTAATATGCATAATACCAAAAAAATCAAATTTCCGAAAAAGTTAGAAGGTCAAAACCGAATATAATAGAACTCACACAAATGTTTATAAACAAGCAATCCTCAAAAAATATCGAAAACTAGCTGAAAGTGGCATTTTGCCTTAAGGCAAGTTCACGAACTTTCCGAAATGTGTAATAATTATCAATTAATTGACTTAATCAATCGAAATTGAGATTCAGGTGTTTAGATAAAATTTTTAATTGTTTATTTCGAAAATAAAGTTTTTGCTTTCAATTAAATCTTAACATTATGGTTTAAAATTGATATCTCTCAAACACATTTAAATTATTATCTATAATTATAGTAGTTGTATAACTCAACAAATTTTTATAGGACTGCTTAGTGCATAAAATTTTATGATAAATGTCGAAATTTTTTTAAAGGTACTTAATAAATTATTTTGTGTTATGTTAAGCATCTGCTATAAAAATTAAATTATTGGTAAGAGATACATTGAATGGTTTTTGAATTTATAAAATCATCGCCCAAAACTGACAAACACAAGTCCTAACGAGTAAATTGCTTTTGAGTTTTTAAAATCGGTCCTGCCCTTTTGGACAATTGTCAAAAATTGGCTCGTGTCCGCATTTTTTCGTTTACGTTTTCGGGTGCACGGATCAACCGATTTGAATGGTTTAAAAAACATTCGATTCCTATTGATAGGGAGATGTTTTGATTAGTTTTTGGCAAAGGTAGCTCCAGCAGTTACGGAGATAAAGAGCAAAGTGTGCAGAAAATAGAAATCGAGTTTTTGAGAGAACGGAACATCCGATTTGAATGATCTAAAAAACATTCAATTAGTAATGATTGGGAGAAGAGATTATTAGTTTTTCGTAAAGGCAGGCCCAGCCATTTTAAAGATACAGAGCTAAATGTGCAAAAATGGCAGTACTAATGGCAGAGCTAAATGTGCAAAAGCGTCCGATTTAAATGATTCAAAGAATTTCTGCTGGTTATAACAAAATAATTGATTTTGAAAAAAAAAATTGTTTCAACATTTTTTTTTCAATTTTTTTTTTCTAAACATTTTTTTTATATCGAAAAATAATTCAGATTTTATTTTTAATTCAGACTAAAGTTCTAATATACTTTAAACAAATAATTTCAACTTTGCAATTCAGTTTATATAATTCTTATAAATATTAGACAATGTTATAAGATAATGTTAATAAATCCATATTAGATAATGTTATAATTTAATATTTATAATAATCTATTTGAAAACATTCAATATTTGCCTCAAGGCATGATGCCATACACCCCACTAGTTTTTCTTATAATTAAATAATTAATCTTATATTGTTTTACAATTACAAATGTAGGAATGATGAAAGTCAAAACTTAAATTTTGTTTACTACTATCAGTATGCATCACGTTTTTATCAGGGTAGATACATAGATAAAAGAAGAGTGGGTGGATATTATCTCATTATTACCAATTTATTATTATAATAACTTATATATTATATTATCAAATAATAAAAAATATATAAAACACTAACCTACTGCAACTAGTAGTGAGAGGGAATGAAACCTGTCAATATGCAAAAAAAACATGTGGATTTAGGGCAATCAGACTTAGACAATACAAGAATAAGAATATAATTATTTTTTATTAACTTCCCATAGGGCAAGTTATAGTAATCGCAAAAAATCGAAAATAAATTTTTTTATATATCTTAACGTTTCAAAGGTTTCTGATCATTTTGGCACACTTTACAAGAAATCGATGTATGTGTATGTGCGAATATAAATTTGGTCGACGATTTCGGGAACACGGATCAACCGATTGGGATTTTTTAAAAAACATTCGATTCGTATTGATTTTGATTGACCAAGATTTTTAATCACGGTACGTGATGTTCCAGCCATGCTCCCCACTAGCCTATGTATCTATGAATATAATACACAAATAATCTTATCCTTATACTTGTTAACTTCCCGTAGAGTAAGTTATTGTAATGGGCCGAAAATCGGAATTCAACATTTTGGCATACCTAAGAAAAAATGGATGTGTGTGTGTATGTATGTATGGATACAATTTTTCGTCCACGTTTTCGGGCGTACGCATCAACCGATTTGGATGGTTCAAAAAACATTCGATTCCTATTGATGAGGATATGTGCTGATTAGTTTTTGGCAAAGGCAGGTCCAGCAGTTACGGAAATAAAGACCAAAGAGTGCAAAAAATAGAAATCGAATTATTGAGAGAACGGAACAACCGATTTGAATGATCTAAAAAACATTCAATTAGTAATGATTGGGAGAAGTGGTTATTAGTTTTTTGCAAATGTAGGCCCAGCCATTTCAAAATGGAAGTTTTTGAGAGAACTAAGTGTCCGATTTAAATGATTCAAAGAACTTTCTGCTTGTCTTAACAAAATAATTGTTTTTGGAAAAAAAATTGTTTCAATTTTTTTTTTCATTTTTTTTTTTTTAAATTTGTATATCGAAAATAATTCAGATTATATTTTTAATTCTGACTATAGTTCTAATATACTTTACAAATAATTTCAACTTTGCAATTCAGTTTATATAATTCTTATAAATATTAGACAATGTTACAATATTTATAATAATCTTTTTGAAAACATTTAGTATTCCTCGAACATTTCGTTACGGTACGGGAAATTCCAGCAATTTGCCTTAAGGCACGATGCCACCCACCTCACTAGTTTATCTATGCTCTTATCTATGAATATATTACACATTTGCTTGCATCATATACTCTTCTTTTATCTATGCATTCATAATTCATCAGTTTCACTTTCTGGCCACCATCTGAGAAGGCATGCCGTTTAAACTTTAAAGTAACATACTCTTCTTTTATCTATGGCGCTACCTATGTGTTGATAACTCCCGTCCCAACCTACTTGTTTTGTTGGTGAACTTGCCCATAGATAAAAAGCTGCATGTCAAAATTATTAAATTTGGTTAGAATGCGATCATTTGCTTGGAGAAACAATAATGTGACGCAGATACATTTACGTTTAGTGATGTGTGCAATTAAAAAAAATAGTTATAAAAACAATAATAATATGGCAAATACGTTCTAGTATGAGATAAATTTCAAATTTATTAAATTTGCTTTTGTATATTATTTAGGTTTAATTGATAAACATTGCCTACATGCTCTATGAGTTGTAAAAAAATAAACATGTACTTACAGTGAATGTGTATATTGTAGGACTATTTAACTCAATATGTCTTCGTCTATAGAAATACCTCTCCGTGATACGGATGAGGTTATAGAACTCCATCCCGAAGGTTTACCAGATGGAGAAGAAGTGCTTAGTATTCTGAGGCAAGAGCAAGTTCAATTGAATACATGGTTAACTGTCGCTCTTGCATATTATAAGCAAAATAGGCAGCAAGTTTTTGTAGACATTTTGGAAGCTTCTCGTGTTGATGCCAATATTAATTACATTGATTATGAAAAAGATCAAATGCGTGGTCTTGATATGCTTGCTGCATATTATGCACAGCAAGCAAATAAAGAAAAAAATAAGGATAAGAAAAAAGATTTATTTGCAAAAGCTATGTTACTATATAATACTGCAGATAAGATCATAATGTATGATCAAAATCACTTATTGGGTCGTGCATATTGTGCTCTTCTTGAAGGTGATAAAATGGAACAGGCTGATACACAATATAATTTTGTATTAAATCAGTCACCATCAAATATACCATCATTGCTTGGAAAAGCCTGTATAGCTTACAATAAAAAAGATTATAGAGGAGCTTTAGCATTTTACAAAAAAGCTTTGAGAACGAATCCGACTTGTCCAGCAGCAGTACGTTTGGGAATGGGGCATTGCTTTTTAAAATTAAATAATCAAGAAAAGGCGAGAATGGCATTTGAACGTGCTCTCTTTCTAGATCCACAATGTGTAGGTGCCTTAGTGGGCCTTGCAATTCTAAAATTGAATTTACAACAACCAGAATCAAATAAAATAGGTGTACAAATGCTTTCAAAAGCATATTCAATAGATTCTTCAAACCCAATGGTATTGAATCATTTAGCAAATCATTTTTTCTTTAAGAAAGATTATAATAAAGTGCAACATTTGGCTTTACATGCATTTCATAACACTGAAAATGAAGCCATGAGAGCTGAAAGTTGTTACCAGCTTGCAAGAGCTTTTCATGTCCAAGGTGATTATGATCAAGCTTTTCAGTATTATTATCAAGCAACACAGTTTGCACCTGCCTCATTTGTACTGCCCCATTTCGGTTTAGGGCAAATGTATATATATCGTGGTGATACAGAAAATGCAGCCCAATGTTTTGAAAAAGTTTTAAAAGCACAACCTGGAAATTATGAAACAATGAAAATTTTAGGTTCATTATATGCAAGTTCATCATCACAATCAAAACGTGATATAGCAAAAAGCCATTTATGCAAAGTGACAGAGCAATTTCCAGATGATATAGAGGCCTGGATTGAACTGGCTCAAATTTTGGAACAAACTGATTTAAAAGGTTCATTACAAGCTTATGGCACTGCCACTAAAATTTTAACCGATAAAGCTTTGGCTGATGTGCCGTCTGAAATACTTAATAATGTAGGCGCTTTACATTATAGACTTGGTAATCTTGAAGAAGCAAAAAAGAATCTAGAGGAAGCTGCAGAAAGAGCAAAATTAGAAGCTGAACAGGATGCAACATATTATAATTCAATATCTGTAACTATAACATATAATATAGCCAGATTAAGTGAATCACTTTGTATGTTTGATAAGTCTGAAAAGTTGTATAAAGATTTATTGATGGAGCATCCAAATTATATTGATTGCTATTTAAGACTTGGTTGCATGGCTCGTGATAGAGGTCAAATTTACGAAGCATCAGATTGGTTTAAGGAAGCTCTTAAAATAAATAATGAACATCCTGATGTATGGTCTCTTATTGGTAATCTTCATTTGGCTAAAATGGAGTGGGGGCCAGGTCAAAAAAAATTTGAGAGAATATTAGATAATCCTTCAACATGCACAGATGCTTATTCGATGATTGCTTTAGGAAATGTTTGGTTGCAAACTCTTCATCAACCCAACAAAGATAAGACGAGAGAAAAGAAGCACCAAGATAGAGCATTGGCCATGTATAAAGCAGTTTTGAGAAATGATCCTAGAAATATATGGGCAGCTAATGGTATTGGATCTGTTCTGGCTCATAAAGGTTTATTTAATGAATCTAGGGACATCTTTGCGCAGGTTCGTGAAGCAACTGCGGATTTTTGTGATGTTTGGTTGAATATTGCACATATATATGTAGAACAAAAACAATATATTAGTGCTGTACAAATGTATGAGAATTGTTTAAAAAAGTTTTTCCAGAATCCAAATGTAGATGTTTTGCAATATCTGGCACGCGCTTATTACAAAGCTGGAAAGTTACGTGAAGCTAAACTAACTTTTCTCAGAGCGCGACGTGTTGCTCCAGAAGATACTTTATTGCTTTATAATATTGCATTAGTTCTTCAAAAATTAGCAACGCAAGTTTTAAAGGATGAGAAATCTACTTTGCAAGTTGTTTTACAAGCAGTTGATGAACTAGGGATATCACTAAAATATTTTCAACATTTAGCAGCAAGTGGTGATAGAACTAAGTATGACCTTACAATGGCAGGATTGGAAGCTCGTCAATGCCAAGATCTACTTTCTCAGGCACAGTATCACGTAGCACGTGCTCGCAGAGCAGATGAGGAAGAAAAATCAATGCGCAAGAAACAGGAAGAAGAACGAATTGCATTCCGTAAACGTCAAGAAGAAGAACGTTTACGTGCTGAACAAGAACGTGTAAAAACTACTGAAGAAATGCTGCAAAAGCGTATAGAATATAGAGAAAAGACTAAGAACGCTTTACTCTTTGCGGAGTTACCACAAGAGAAGAAAAAAGGAAAATCGAGACGTGATGAATATGTGTCAGATTCAGGTGGAAGTGGTGCTGAAAGACCAATGGAAGATGGTAATGAGTCGAGAAAAAAGAAACGAGAACCAGCTGCTGGAAAGAAGAGAAAAGGTGGTGTCAGAAAGAAGAGAGAGAAACACAGTAATAGAACTGGTTCTGGATCTGAAAGTGATGATGCCCCTAAATCCAAAAAGCCACGTGGTAAAAAGGGTAAACCAAAAAAAGAGAAAGAGGAGACAGAAAAACTTACCCAGAAGCAAAAGTTGCGTATTGTGTCAAAAGCTACTATTTCTACTAGCGAATCTGAGAGTGATGGAGGTAAAATAAAAACTGCAAGTGAGGATGGAAGCAGTGGTCCGGAAAGAAATTACAAATCTAAAAAAATTGCATCCAATTCAGATCGCTCAGACTCGGAACCTGATAGATCTAGAAATCGTCAATCTAGAAGCAGATCAAAATCAAGGGGTTCAAGGTCAAGGTCAAGGTCAGTATCAGGAAGTGGATCCAGAAAAAGCCGTAGTGTGTCCCGTTCCAAATCGCGAAGCGCATCGAGGTCAGCGTCTGGTAGCTCGCGAAGATCGCGCAGCAGATCAGGAAGTAGAAGCGTGTCAAGATCTAGAAGTAGATCTGTTTCCAGAAGTGTTTCACGATCTCGAAGTAGTCAGGTTCTCGTAGCGGATCAGGTAGTAGATCTGGGGGCTCCAGATCAAATTCTGGTAGTAGAAGAGAATCACCAGTCTCTAGAAAAAGTGTATCTGGTAGTGAGTCTGGCTAAAACTAAAAATTATATGTTTTATATGTTGTAAATTGACGATACAATTGATGTTCATTTATTTTATATTGGAACAAAATAAAAATAACTAGTATTATATCACGTGTCTATGTCACTATTCTTATTGCTTTAACATGTATTTTTCATTTTAGGTTTTTGTATATTTGAAACTCTACATTTATGAATTAGAAAATTAATTAGTAATATTTCGAAAGTTTACATTTTAATTGTTTCAATAATAGATTTATCATCTTTATCAAGTAAAATTAAAATAAATATGAAACTAATTCTATATGCAATGGCTCTAATGACTTGTTTACTCAATTACATTATGCTTATACATGAAGCTACAATAACTACTGTAAATTCATTTTGCTGTATTTTAGATATTAGACATTAAAAAACGTATTGAAAAAATCCTATATGCATATGTATGTATGTACATATATGTGTATATATTATATGTATATATGTGTGAGATTGAAAAATCTGCTTTCGCTGATCTTTCATTTTCTTAAAACAACGCAATGAAGCGAATGTTCAAATTCGCACGATTTGAATAAAATGTGCAGAGTATATAGAATACTAACGCAAGCGTTTACTACACTAGACTTTCATCTAGCGCCCAAAGAATTGATTGAGCTATGCGTTTAAAGTATAATATTCAAAAAGAACGCCGTTTTCACAACGAACTTCGTGATTCGCTCAGGCATATATGTATATATATATATATATATATATATATATATATATATATATATTAACAAAGTCTAATAATCGGGCATAACATCAATAAAAAACATGAATTTCTTTCAAAAATTTATTTTAAATCCATACGTTTCGGCTATAATCCTAGCCTTCATTCAGTGGAAAAATTAGTTGATCTTAGTGTTAAATTGGAAAATTTTAATAATCCATGGTATTAAAATATGGTAATGCACTACACTATGTATTATAAACATTAACTTGAAATTACACAATATTTTCACAAAATACTGATTTGAAAAAATCACAAATGGATAGTGTTATTCGTAGACTTTATTTTTGAAAAACAAAAAAACCCAACTATCTCTATGAACACGAGGTATTCTAATATTGTCTAGGTATCTCTTACAATGTTTGACACAGTACTAAACATGTGAATATATACAGAGATATTTAAAAATAAATCTTAAATATCGAAGATGAAGGACAAGGATGGATATTATACAATGTAAACAAAAAAAAGAGTGCTCGATCGCATTAAAATCAACAAATGTGAACACAGATTAATTTATTGAAGAGAATGAGATAAATGAATAAAAATAGTTAATAAAAAAATTATAAAATATTAATTATGTTTATATATAAGAGTCGTGTAAAGTATTTTACGAATAAATATACATTTGTGTCGGTTCTCAGATTTATGCTATTGTTAGTTTGAACTATTAATTAATTAACTGATTCTGACATGCTCCGTTTAAATAAGTCTTTTTCATGAAATAAGATTTGGAAATTATCATAATAAAACTTATGATTGATGATATTCGCTGATATTCGATCCACGAGCGTACTTTTAAATTTTTTATTATCTATTAATAGATAAATTTTTCCGTATTGTTATTTATGCTGCTTGAGTCTTTTATCTTAGTTCTTAGTACCGGAACGAAAATGTTTGAGAAAAATTAAATGTTTTCAAATAGATTATCATAAATTAATACTGTAACATTGTCTAATATTTATAAGAATTATATAAATTGAATTTGAAAGTTGAAAATATTTGTATAAATTTAAACAAAGTTATTTATTTATTTATTTATACAAACAATTTATATTTTAATATACTCATGTATATTAGAACTTAAGTCAGATATACAATTAAAATCTGAATTATTTTCGATATACAAAAAAAATTAAACAAAAAAATTTGTTTTTTTCAAAAGCAATTATTATGTTAAAACAAGCAAAAAGTTCTTTTAATCATTCAAATCAGACACTTCTCTCAAAAACTGCCATTTTTTGCACATTTAGCTCTGTATCTCCGAAACCGCCGGGCCTGCCTTTGCCAAAAACTAATCACCACTTCTCCCCGTCAAATCGGATGCTCCGATCTCTCAAAAACTTGATTTCTATTTTCTGCATTCTTTGCTCCGTATCTCCGAAACAGCTGGACCTGCCTTTGCCAAAAGTTAATCAGCACATCTCCCTATCAATAGGAATCGAATGTTTTTTGAACCATTCAAATCGGTTAATCCGTGCGCCCGAAAACGTGCACGAAAACTTGTATCCATACATACATACACACACATTCATTTATTCTGAGGTATGCCAAAATGTTCAGAAACCTTCAAAACGTCGAGAAATGTAAAAATTTTCGATTTCGATTTCGATTTTTAGATGATTACAATAACTTACCCTACGGGAAGTTAATATAAGTTCTTGTTCTTATGAATTTTGGACGGCGACGCTTATGTAAACATGAAAGTAAGTGAACAGAACTTAATAAAGAGGAGTTAGAATAAAGAATATTGTTTCATATTTCTAAAAATAATATAAACTGAATTGCAAAGTTAAAATTATTTATTTGAAATATATATATATGTGTGAGCTTTCGAATTTTAGCTAGAATTAAAATTCATTTTCAATATTTTTAGAAAATATAATCTAATCACCATACTTATCCTCATCTAATCTTTTCCTCTTCATCCTCATTTAATAATTCAAATTGGATGGTCCGTGCGCTCAAAAACTCGTCGAGCGACTCTTTGTCAAAAACAATAATCAGCATGTCTCCCCGTCGGTAAGAATCGAACTTTTTGGAATTATTCAAATCGGCTGATCTGGGCGCCAGAAATCATGAACGAAAAATTGTATCCATATATACTTAAGCCGGCCACAGACGATACTGTCCACGACAATATTAGAATACCCCGTGTTCATATAGACTCTATATTATAGAGTCTATATGTAATTATATATAAACCGGCAGTGTATTTGCAAATCAACATGTTGATTTTTATTTCGATTTGATTGTATATTTATTATAATATAATATTATCTAGTATATTTTTGTTATTATTATATTAATACAAAACATAATTCGATTGTAATACCAAATTTAGTTTCAAATACCCGATTACTAAAATTCATTAATTTTTATTTCAAATTTTGCGCCAATAATTTGAATGCCAAAAGCAGCGCCATCACGTCGAGCGGAGGCCCCTTTAAGTAATCCTTCTGAAATATGAACACGAGCATAGATAAACAAGTATAATAGCATAGATAAACAAGTATAATAGATCGCTATGTCTGGCGGTTTGACGTTACCTCGATTGGAATACAAATTTTTAAAAATAGATGGCAACACATGTATAATATTTAAATTACCCCTGGTTTTACTTCTTAATTTGTACGTATCGTATACAGCCCCAAAAACCTGAATAATTTTTAATATTGGAAATAAGAACAAATCATACGAAATACAAAATATATATTTTCAAAGATATTACATATGTTTAAAGAACAATTAAAATTATGTTTATATTAACAATTATAATTACAGTTATGGAATGTTTGAAAATATAATAATTATTATACATAATTATAAAAGTATTATAATTTCACAATTATGCTTAAATAATATTTCAAAAACTAAATATCTAAGTGAAGAAAATCACAGAAGTATTTAACTAAACTAAGCACAAATAACTGACTAATAATAATTACTTAATGACTAATATTAATATATTAAAATCTTACAAACTAAGAAGAAACTACAAGCACAGGAGCACGCAATGAAATTACAAATTTAAAAGGAATGACAAATAATACAAAAATTTAAAGGGTTAAGAAAAAAACAAATAATTTGTTAAAAAGTACAAATACTTCACAAACAAAAAAGTTCTAAAAACATAAAATATATATATTGATATCAAAATTGAGAGAAATTCAAATTCCTAGGATTAAAACTCATTTACGAGACATTGTTCTTTATTAATTCTGCATGTAATAGTTATTTCGCTATCTAATGAATTAATAGTAAAGTTGCATTTAACAAAACCTTTGAATAGTTTCTGTACGAGTGTTTTATAACATTACATTTAGCCATGTTCCATCATGAAAACATTATCATTGAAATTGCCATAAAAGATCAACAAAGTGTTTACAATGAACAGAATAATGTTTTATGCACATCAATTGTTTATGAATCAAAAGATAAAAGCAATATTTTTGATTCCCAAGGTCGGTAACAAATATATCTTGAATTTAAACATTATATTGGGATGTTACACAAGTTTTATTTGAAGAATATTATAACACTAATCTTCAATCAAAATACATTAAAATCTTATGTATGGTATAGACTCTCTTTATAAGTGTTTACATTTGCTAATGTAATAGATAATCTTATTAAATATAACAATGAACTTACGTTGATGAACATTTAAACCAATACTAGTTTACTTATTAAGTGTTTACATTTGCTAATGTAATAGATAATCTTATTAAATATAACAATAAACTTACGTTGATGAACATTTAAACCATACTAGCTGAATAACTGTTTTGCAACTTCAACAATATGAGATTCAATCCAATCATATAACAATTCCGAAGATAATGGTATTTCATCAAACATCAAAACACAGTATCTGCTACTAATACTTTTTAAAAGAAATAGCTGAACCTAATGTTTTAAATAGACACTCATAAATACCGCTATACACTTGTATCTCTGAATGCAACTTTCTCAATGTTTGAGGACATGGCAAAATAAATATTTGTCTCCAAAAATAGTAGACCTTTGGAGACTTTTTGTACGACTTATTCCTTAAATTATTGCATTGTTTATGAATCCTTCTTGTCATTACATATTGCATTCCTTGGTTGTCAAAAGTACTCCTGCGCTTTGTTCGTGCATTTTGCAGCAATTTGCAGGTACCGCCAAGACACCTATTCAATATAATAACATGTTGACATATCTTGATTATATATAATTATTGCTGCAATTATTATTAAAAAATACCTTTGCGGAAACTTGTATTGGAATAGCTAAATATTTTAACCCGCACTTGACACTTTTTTGGGTACTATAAAAACACTTTGCCATATTAAATTTCACAAATGTTCACTTAAACAAAATTAATTAATTAGAAACAACACGAGTTCAAAAAGTTAGGTTATTCGTACAGCCATACAGACAGCGATCAAATACTTGACAGCCACTTGCATGAACCACGAACAATTTGTAGTTGAAATTGAGTGCACATGAGCCATCTGTTTTTAAAAATTGAAACTACTCAGGACCAAAACAGTGCAACGCGCATTTGTTCGAAGATAACTCCCCATGGTTAACTGTATCGTAAACGTTTTTTCTTCTAATAACTTAGCAGGTGCGTTAACGGGACGAAAACGATCGGCAGTAACGGTTTGCTTACACAAGTGATGTTAGTATGTTTGACTGTTTGACAGTTCATTGAGTAGTTACAATAATGTTGTTCTTGTTCTTTCATAAGTCGAGTGTTAAATTTAATATATGATAGTAGTGAATTTATAATTAAGCAAATGGTAATTTAAAAATGTTTTTATATTCCTATTATTCCGATGCTATTTATTTGATTCAATGCAAATTAATACATATTTCAATATGTTTATTTGTATATTTTACAGGCCAATTTAATTAAGGATATAGAAATCAAGGAAGATTTCCCAAAATCTTTATTGTTGGATAAACATGTTCAGTTTATTTCTAGTTACGGAGTGAACAAAGAAGAATATGTGAGTTTTCATTAATATCTAAATATTATAATGGTACTTTACATTTTATCGGCGGAAATATGTGATTTGTAAATTAAGAATAAATCTATTAATGCATTTATCTAAATATCTGAAAATAAATATGTTGAAAAAATGAACCGAACTGCTTTCCTCATGAATTTATATACTCGTATATTCATATTGTGTTACTTTTGAATTTGTACCAAATAATTTTTACTATTGGATATTCAGTGCAACCTTTGCAGATGATACGGTAATTCTAGCAATACGGTAATACAAAAACACGCAGATGAAGTAGAAAAGTGGATGAAATTATGAAAAATAGAAGTAAACAATTTTAAATCAGTTCATGCTACTTTTACCATACGACAAGGTTCATGCCCTCCTGTTAGTTAGTTAGTTAGTTAGTTAGTTAGAGTGGTAAATTGGTTCCTGTATCCAATGTAGTTAAATATCTGGGAATACATTTGGATAGGAGACTAACCTGGCATGAACATATAATTAAAAAGCGCCAGCAGCTCGAACTGACACGAAGGCAATTTAAGTGGTTAAAAGGCTGAGCAATAATAGCAGAAGCAATTAAAATATTTCAATGAATTGCAAATCGCCTCATTCAATATAAATACGATCTAGAAAAATCTCTAAAAGTCAACCTAGTCAATTCCGAAACTCACTTCAATGAAAAATCATATTTAAGGATACAAAATTACGTAACATATTCTACAAATCTCCCAGATGAAAAATGCTATGTAGTAGCAGCAAAATTAATAAAAAATGATATTAAACTCACTCTCTGCCTCCTTTTCAACCAGAGACTATACAAGCTTATTTAATCTCAGTGTAAACCAAATATTATATCATAACACTAGCATCTTTTAGTGCCCTCCAAGACACAAAATTTATCTGCCAATTTTAATGTATTCTTCAACGGCATAGAGAATCATCATAAACATACATCATGGGGCTCTAGACTAACTGAAGCCATAGAAAAAAGAACTACGAACATCAATGTATTAGATAAATGCTTCACATATATCTACAGGACACACAACATACTGGCCAACTAATTTTTTTAAAATAAAAGGTATTCTTACATATCGATTCATTATCGAACCCAACTTTATCTATCTTTCGACCACTCCCAAATTCTCCTAACAACTTTTCTAGACCGATTCATAACGCTTTTCAACTCCACTCTTCAATTTAACTAATTGTAAGGGCCATCTATATGGAAGATCGCAAAAATTATAATGGTTCTAAAACCTTAAAATCTTATCGACCTACAAGCCTTCTTCCATCTCTATCAAAAATTTTAGAATAACTCATTCTACAAAAATTTCTAGAAGATCATCCCGAAAACACCTAGATACCTAACTACCAATTTGGTTTTAGAAGACATCATTCTGCTATTTAACAATGCAACAGGATCACCAACTCAATCCTATCTGCCCTGGATAAAAAATAATTTTGTGAATCAGTTTTTCTGGACATCAGTCAGGCGTTCGATAAGGTTTGGCACATAGGAATTCAAAATGAGTATTATAGACAATGTAGACTTGACAGTTTCTCTAAACCAGTGCAAAGATAAGAAAGCTAGGGAAGAAATTTCATCCCATCGGGTTTTGATAGCATACAATGTGAGGTGTAGGTACATTAGTAAAAAGTGAGCAAAAGTTACTGTATTATTCCTCTTATTATCAACTCAAAATGAAGATACACTATATTTAATGTGACTGACCACGTACTTCGGATAAAACATTGTGGGACAGCAACATCAACTTAATTACAAAAATTCTATTCGATAACCTTGTAAACGTACACTATTCCGGGATAGTACATTATTACGGGACTTTTTCATTTTGATCGCAAAATAAGAAAACAGTCGGTGAATAATAATTTTAAACAATACCACATAAACTATAATTCGAATCTCATCAAATAAGCACGATTTTCCATTTTAAATATTAGTTTTTAAAACCATATAGAGCATCAGTCATAACCCGATCGCCATTACGTACAGTCCTGTTGTTAGTTAGGTTAATGTGACGCTACAATTGCTTAAGATTTTTATGTGACACTGGTAAGCTTATTCAATATAAATTTGTGATATTATTGTTAAGAATTAATAAGTGATAAGTTTTATAGTTAAATCGAGCAAATATGTTTTAAGAAAGTGTCAATTTTGTGACTCCCGTAATTAAGTTCACACAATTGAGGCATTGAACGTAATTCCGTGAGTGTCACGCAATTAGGAAAAGTAGACCTGAATTATTTTAGTCTTTTATTCTCAATTATGCTTAAATTTAGTGGTGTTTTTGGTGTTACTAAGTTTGGTAATGACCACAGAATATTGTGACCTAATTACGGTATATGTTTTTTTTTATTTTTAACCCTAATAATTGAGTTTGAAATTACTACTCTTTAGCAAGAAAATATATGATTTTTTTACTTATTGATGAGTAGTGAGTAATGAGAGAATCAGATGTTTCTTTTATTTCATCTACGATAAATCATTTGTGTAATGTCAAAGCTTACAGAAATAGGGGAAAACCCGTAGTGCACTTGTTTTCTATCAATGACGCACGATATTTATAGAGCACGAATCACTAGTGTGCTGCGGGTATGTGTGTATGTATGCAGCGAATTAGGGACATATTCGTAAATACGGTTGTATGTATGGTAAATGTATGCTTCGAGCGCTATCACGGAATAGTGTACAACGACTCCCGGCATTAAGTTCATGAACCGAATTTTATCACGGAATTAGAGACAAACGCGTGGTTCACCAAAATGCCGATTATTTCTATAAATGACGTTTTACGACGAAAAATCTTGTTTTATAATAATCTTAAAGGTCTAATTAAAAAATATAACAGATTTAGTTCGTCCACTTTCCTATTTTCTCTAAAATTCGCCTTTAAAGTCAAACGTTTCTTAACATCCCGTAATATGGTACGTTTACCTTAGTTTCCGTAGGACTTAGGTTTACTATGTTTATTAAGACCAAGTACTCTATCATCATACTATTCATACTACTACTACTCATTTTCTAAAACTTCAATGGTTTTTTAAAATTAAACTACTTGTCGTAAGGCCGTAATATTTCAGTAGGTTCTATAAGACCATGACGCATATCGCCAAAAAAAGTTTTATCAAAATCGGCTTAATTTTTTTTCGGTCAGTTAATTACAAGAAAACGGCTCGATAGATTTTCACCTAAAACAAATCAGTATCGTTCCCAACTAATATCTTTCGAACAGTTTTTGATTTTTCAAAATCGATTCGGTAGTATATGCTTAAACGTTTAACGAAAAGTTTAACACTTTTTTCAAATTCCAAAGAAACGGCCCGGCAGATTGTCCCACACAACTGAGAAAAGATAATCCACATCGAAATACATCGATCGGCTTTTAAATTTTTAAAATCGGTTCAGGCGGTTTTGAGCAAACGTTGATGAAATGTCTAATTTTGGCAGAAAACGATACTAATTTTTGCAAACTTTGACAAATTTTTAAAATTAAACAACTTGTCTTAGGGCCGTAATATTTTAGTATGATCTTTAAGACTATGTTATCTACCATAAAAAAAATCATGAAAATCGGCGGAATTTTTTTTTCTTAAACTTCATTACAAGAAAACGGCCCAGTCGATCTTTACCAAAAACTAATCAGCACGATTCCCAAAACAATATCTTTCGAACGGTTTTTGAATTTTCAAAATAGATTCAGAATTGCGGGCTAAAACGTGTACGAATTTTTTTTCTTTTTTCTGCGATTTACAAAGGAACTGCTCGGCTGATTATCGCTGAAAACTCAGAAACGCTAATCCTCATCGAGATACATCGAATGGCTTTTAAAGTTTTGAAATCGGTCTAGCGATTTTTGAGAAAAAGTCGATTTACGGCAAAAAATCTGTTCGCATACACGCACATACATACTTTTTCCAAATTTGGTCTCATTAGATTCAGAATGGCTTGAAACGTCGAGAAAACATGAAATTAGCAAATTGGATTTATTCGTTCATTTTCCATTATGTGTAATAAATCCATTCGAAATACTTTTAATCACTCATAAATTAATTTATTTTACATTAATTAAGTCGATTATTTACATATATCGGAAAGTTCATGTAACTTGCCTCAAGGCAAAATACCAATACCAACTGGTTTTAAAAATTCATCAAAGTTTGAGAAAATGAGTAGTTTTTCTTGACGTTTTAATTCAAATTAAAATTAGACGATTTACTTGGTATAACGATAGAGTACTTGGTGTTAATGAATATACTAAAGCATTAAAGTCCTATATAGATTCAATTATAAAAATTGTTGATTTTTGAAAATTTGCTCTTAGAAAAAATTCCGAGTTAACGTGTTCGTTCGTTTTCATACTTTAATCACTCATAAATTAACTTATTTTTTATTGATTAAGTCGATTATTTACACATATCGGGAAGTTCATGTAACTTGTCTCAAGGCAAAATACTAATACCAACTAGTTTAATATATTTTTCCATTCAAATTCATGCAGTTTTTAAACCTTTGTATGTAAGAAAAAATTAAAAATTAAAATATATTTTCTGTTGATCTTGAGATTATTTGTGATCCTTGTTATTTGAGTAATTTGAGACTAGATCTTTATAAATAATCTGTAAATAGTTAACAGCTCAAAATATTTTTCAGGAATACTGCATGACAGAATACCTACGAATGTCAGGCTTATATTGGGGTGTTGCATCGCTGGCCCTTATGGACAAAATAGATAGCTTAAGTCGAAAGGAGGTGATTGATTTTGTTAAAGAATGCCAATGTTCTGAAACTGGGGGTTTTGTGCTAGCCAAAAACACGATCCCCATTTACTTTACACGTTGAGCGCTATACAGGTACGTTTTTTCAAAAACTACATTAATTCAATAAAAATACTGATATTCAATTTTCAATTCTTGAATATATTCCCCATATTCAAATTTTATTCAATTCTTGATAATTGTAATATGGACTTTCTTAAGTTACATAAAATAGGTTAAGTACATAAAATAGGTTAAACTTTCATAATGCTTTGTGTAACGTGCGCTTATTATGACGAGTTGTTAGTGACCCTTCGATGTCATGCGTTGCAGATTCTACTGTATACAAAAAATAAATGTATGCCTGTGTCCTATGCATTCAAAAAAAACTATACTGTTGACTCGCTAATCTGACACTATTATAAACCGGAGAATGTCCAATTATTGGAATGTTTGGATTAATGAATTATAGTGAAAAATTCATAATTTTTAACATATGATATTGAAATAACGTTAAAATTCACAAAAAATTACAAAAAATCGGCTGCGAGTTACTAGAGGTCGACTTCGATTTACTAGAGGTGTGGATCTATCGAAGTGTCGAATAAGTGAGAGTCTACTGTACATCCAATCAACGTGGAAATGTGAGAAAATGTTAGTTATATCATCAGATAGGTTTTCAGATATTATATTCTCATTAAAACCAAGTGGTAAGAATTGACCACTCCGAAGATTTTTTTTATTTTTTTTTGCATAGTAGGTATAATGCGTATATAATCAACACATATAACTCCAAATTCAGCATCCTACACACAAACCCCTATTTTGTAAGAATTATTATAGTAATTACATCATTTTTTATAAACCGTACATACGATCGCCGTGAAAATTTGGAAAAATGATAGATATATCCCTGTATATATAATATTTCAGATATTGACAATGTATGATGCTTTAAATGAAATAGACCTTGAAGGTGTCGTTCGCTACGTTACTTCGCTTCAACAAAATGATGGCAGTTTTACAGGTGACAAATGGGGTGAAGTTGATACCAGATTCTCATTTTGTGCAGTAGCTTGCCTTTCACTTATCGTAAGTATTTATTTTGATTCAATTATCTTATTTATCTCGAGAATCGATACATTCATTTTTTTATTTACTGCTAAATTTAACAATCAGATTACATTATGATTATGATATATAGTCGAAAGTGGGTATTGAAAATCAGTATAAGAAGAAAGAAAACAAAAATGATTAAATTAATAAATAAATGATAATTAACAAACAATGATAATGATAATTATAACAATAATGAATAATAAAAAATAAATAATTGTAAGCAACTTGTGTAAAAATAATCTGTTTAGAAACAATTATGTTATGGACTGCGGCAGATCACTGGGCCATTTTCTCTTGTATCTGGGCAAAGACAGGTCCAGCCGTTTCGAAGATACGGGGCAAAAAGGGCCAAAAACGGTTATTGAATAATTCAAAAAAAATTTTTGTATTTATATTTTATTGTATTGACAAAGTGAACAATTGATTGAATGTTTGGGGAGGCAGGTCTAACGGTTTCGGAAATCTAGTGAAAAAGTAAAAAAAACGTACCATTTGGAAGTCAAAAATCATCATTAGACATATGCACATCATATTACCACATGTTTTATAGAGATTTTAATAATGAGCAGAAATTTTGTTTAAACCCGTTAGACTGCGACTCGGCGCTTACGCGATTCGATTTTTCTTTTCTTACACAGCCACGCATTATGATTGCTTTGAAAAAAGTTCAAAATTTTCAAAAAGTTCCAAAATATAGTAAAAAATATTTCAAAAATTTTAAAACTCAAAAATCTATTTTTTTCAGTCTCCAAAAAATTTTAAAGCTTTCTTAAGAACTCAAATTTTCGGGAAGTTGCCATGCTCTACTAGTTTTTAATTTAATTATTGTATTATTTTTACAGTAGAATGGGGCGCCGAGTTTTACTGGTAGATAACGAACGAACCGGTGCCGAGCGGAAAGAATTCAAAATATGTGATCATTTTTATTTTTTGAAATTAAATTTTGGTTTGTAAAGTTCCAGCAGTTTGCCTTGAGGCGCATTGCCACTAGCTTTAATATTTTCTTCATTTATAAATTTTATTAAATTAACATTGTTTGTTTAACTTCTAATAAAGATCATGTATTTGACATAAGTCCAAATCTATATTATATAATTTAACTTCTTTTTTTCAGAATAGGCTAAATGAGATAAATCTTGCGTTAGCTGTTAAATTTGTATTAACATGTATGAACTTTGACGGCGGTTTTGGCTCGAGACCTGGATCTGAAAGCCATGCAGGACTAATCTATTGTTGCGTGGGATTTTTGTCAATCACACGTAAGTGGTAATATATAATATATTTAAGAGTTTTATTATATTATAATTCATCTCAAGGAACGCATCACATTATAATTCATTTATTTTCTTTTGCAAGCATGGAGGCAATGTAATGAAATCATTTGAATTGCCAGCTCCGTTTAAATCTAGCACGGAGCGGTATTAAAACATATAACAAAATATTGATGACATATATATGTCAAATTTTATATAAAATAATTTTAAACCTGTTTGCTGAATGATGAGCTAGTATAATAGCTCGAAACGTATTAGAGAAGATTTTATATTTACTTTCTGTTTTTATTTTTTCGACTTGTGGCTGAAAAACCTTGACGCAATATATTTTATTTATTTATTTATTTATTTATTTTGTAATATATACATCTCCATATATCAGTCAGACAGGAGTGCCTGGTATAAGAGATTATGGATTGCTTCATACATTTATACTTATACTATATATTGAATTGAAATATGTTGTTTCTTTGTTGTTTGGAATATTCTACTAATTTTGGTATACGTTATGGAAAATGTAATGTATGTATATATGTATACATTCAAATATAATTTTGCTGCTACATTTTTGTAAGTGCTAATCAACTGATTATGAGGACTCGTATGAACAGAAGAAGTTTTCAAAACGTTTTGACATTGTAAATTGTCTATTTAACCTTCTACTGACATTTCAATATTATGTACTATTTCTTGATTAAGTATGAGTTCCGTACTAGCTATTTGAGCACTTTACAATGATACGCCTAACTAACGATTTTAAATTTACGCATAATACTTAAAGCTATAAACTTTATAATGATATTTTTACCTTCCCATAGGGTAGTTATAGTAATGGGCCGAAAATCGAAAATGAATTTTTTTGCATTTCTCCACGTTTTGAAGGTTTCTGAACATTTTGGCATACCTTAGAAAAAATTGATGTGTGCATGTGTATTTTGTGTCCGCATTTTTTGTTCACGTTTTCGGGCGCAGAGAACAACCGATTTGATTGTTTCAAAAAACATTCGACTTTTTGAGTTTTTGGCAAAGGCAGGCCCAGCCGTTACGAAGATACGGAGCAAAGAGTGCAAAAAATAGAAATCGAGTTTTTGAGAGTACGGAGCATCCGATTTCTCGATTTTTTTTTGTATAACAAAAATAATTTAGATTTTTTCCTGTTAACTGCAAAGTTTTTTTCGGAAGATTCTTAACTCACTTCTTTTAAAATATTCTTAGATATGTCTTTCTTGTCCACTTATGCGGTTCAAACAAATTTCAAAATCTTCAGATTTATTTTTTAATTTTCCGAAGGAGAAGTTTATGTTTTTATCAAAAAATCCGAATCGCTAATTTCATGTTTTCTCGACGTTTCAAGCCATTCTGAATCGAATGAGACCAAATTTGGAAAAAGTATGTGTGTGTGTATGTGTGTGTGTGTGTGTAAACAGATTTTATGCCGTAAATCGACGTTTTCTCAAAAATGGCTGGATCGATTTCAAAAATTTAAAAGCCATTCGATGTATCTCGATGAGGACTAGCGTTTATCAATTTTTCGCGACGATCAGCCAAGCCGTTTCTTTGTAAATAGCTGAAAAGTGAAATTTTTTTCGTCCACGTTTTACTCCGCAGTTCTGAATCGATCTTGAAAATTCAAAAACCGTTCGAAAGATATTGATTGGGAATCGTGCTGATGAGTTGTTGGCAGTGATCGGCCGGGCCGTTTTCTTGTAATAAAGTGTTAAAAAAAAAAATTCGGCGATTTTTATTATTATTTTTTGACGGTAGATACCATAGTCTTCTAAAGTATACTAAAATATTACGGCTCCACGACAATTGGTCTAACTTTGAAAATTTGTCAAAGTTTGCAAAAATTGGTATCGTTTTTTTGGCATTTGACAAAATTAAACCTTTGATCGAGGTTTTCTCAAAAACGCCTGAACCGATTTCATAAATTTAAATGCCATTTGATGTATCTCAATGAGTACTATAATTTGTCAGTTTTGTGAGACGATCTGCCGAGCCGTTTCTTTGTAATTTGAAAAAAGTGTTAAACTTTTCAACCACATTTAAGCTCAAACTACCGAATCGATTTTAAAAAATCAAAAACTGTTCGAAAGATATTAGTTGAGAATGATACTGATTAGTTTTAGGTGAAAATCTACCGAGCCGTTTTCTTGTAATTAACTGTTGAAAAAAAAATTCATACGGATTTGTATGGAACTTTTTTTGGTGATATATATCATGGTCTTATAAAACTTATTGAAATATCACAGCCTTATGACAAGTAGTTTAATTTTGAAAATTAATCAAAGTTTGAGAAAATGAGTAGTTTTTTGACGTTTGTTAAAATCAAAATTAGACGATTTACTTGGTATAACGATAGAGTACTTAGTCTTAACAAACATACTAAACCATTAAAGTCCTACGGAAACTGGTTCAATTATAAAAATTATTGATTTGCGAAAATTTGCTTTCAGAAAATTCGAGTGAACGTGTTAGTTCGTTTTCAATTATGTGTAATAAATCCACTCAGAATACTTCTAATCAATAATAAATGAATTTATTTTTTATTGATTAAGTCGATTATTTACACATATCGGGAAGTTCATGTAACTTGCCGCAGGCTCAATACTAAACCTACTAGTTTAATTTTTAAAATCATACAAAGTTTTATACTTCAAATATAAGTTTTAAGTTCACAATTTAGTTTAAAACTGTATTTTATACGCGTTATTCTACTCGTAAGAAATATATCGTCAGATGGATTCATTCGGCACCTCTTGGTAATGTAAACTTTCTCAAATGCTTTGAGCGATAAGATCGTCATTGTATATTTTATGACGATAAAATATATAGTGATGATCTCGTTGAAAATGTTTGGAACAATTGTTAATAAACATGTATCAATATGTATTGATTATCATTTATTTTTTCGAATATTTAATTGTGTTACGGGAATGATCCAGCAATTTTCCTTAAGTCACGATGTGATGTGCATGGCATCGTACCTTTTTTATGTACGATTTTCTTATTTATTGAACAGTTGTTTTATATAAATATATAGACACATACACATTAGTTCAATTGGTTCATACCTAGTCTATGAGCAATAAAAAATCATTTATCTTTGAACTTAGTTGAATCGGTGATTGATGTTATTTCATTCGGTAGATAATTGTATAGTGTACAGAGCTCGTTTCTGTCGTCAAATCTTCTTGTGCTTTTTTGGTTTTAGATTGCTTAACGTAAAAATTGATTTAGAAATCCGTCTCGCGATTAGCTTGATGCAATTGTTTCTGATCACTTTCGATCGATTTGGCACATTACTAGTATATAATATATTTGATTTATTACAGAGCAACTTCATCATGTTGATGGCGATCTACTTGGTTGGTGGTTATGTGAAAGACAATTAGAGTTATCAGGAGGACTTAATGGTCGACCAGAAAAGCTTCCGGATGTTTGTTATTCCTGGTGGGTGGTGGCGTCGCTGACAATGCTTGGAAGACAGCACTGGATCGATGCTAAAAAATTGCGCAATTTTATTTTTTCATGCCAGGTACTGTATGTATTGTAATGTATTCTTATTTGACTGTAAAATTTCAAAAATATTACAAAATTACAATAGACGAATGGTAGCGCGCCGTAAATGTTCTTTTATTATACCATGTTTATTGAATGAACTCTGTAAATAAGTGCATACTTGTTTTATATGCGACTGAGCATGAAATGCTAATCGAATCGGATTCGATTTTAGGCCCGAATTGGGACAAGAAGCCGGTTGGAGCGCGTTATTATAAAAATATATTTTGAGTGCGCCTATTTTTTTTTATTTATAATAATAAATTCTAATTTACAACTGACAAATGACATGTTAAAGATAATATTACCAAAATATTTTATTTCATCAAATAGTAATTCAGGGTAATATATGTAGCAGTATGCATTTCGCATTAAAGCAAGTTGCAGAAGTTTCCGGTCCGTGTAATAACAATTTCGAAGAAACAAACTGGCATCAAATCAGTTTTTAACTTCCCGTAGGGTAAGTTATAGTAATCGCAAAAAAATCGAAAATAAAATTTTTTATATATCTTTACGTTTCAGAGGTTTCTGAATATTTTGGCATACCTTAGAAAAAATGGATGTATGTGTGTGTGTGTGTGTGTGTGTGTGTAGTATGTATGTGTGTGCGGATACAAATTTTCGTCGACGATTTCGGGAATACGGATGAAGCAATTTGAATAATTTAAAAAACATTCGATCCGTATTGATAAGGAGACGTGCTGATTAGTTTTTGGCGGAGGTAGGTCTAGCCGTTCCGAAGATATGGGGCAAAAAGTGCCAAAAACGGTACCTCAGTTTTTAATAGAACGGAGCGTCCGATTTTAATAATGCAAAAAACATTTTACTTGTATTGACAAGATGAAGATTTGATCAAATTTTTATATAAAGAAAACATTTTTTTCTCAAAAAAAAAAGATTTAAAAAAAAAAAAATTAATTTTTTTTTTTCAATTTTTTTTTTCAAAAAAAAGTAATTTTTTGTCAAATTTATAGTTTCTCAAAAATCTTATTTTTTCTAAGTATTTTTTTTTCAAAAATGTTAATCGTTTTTTAAAAAAATAATAATTTTTGGTACGGGAAGTTCCAGCAATTTGCCTTAAGGCACGATGCCCTAATTGCCTTAAGACAGAATTCCACTTACAGCTAGTTGAGTTGATAGAAAATGAACTTGAACTTTTCTGCTCAAACGGCTTAGTCGAGTAGTTTTTAACTTCCCGTACGTTATAATAATTGCAAAAAATCGAAAATCAAAATTTTTACATGTCTCTACGTTTCTGAACTTTTTGGCATAACTTTGGCTAACAGCAAAAAAGGATGTATGTGCGTGTGCTTATGTAGTAAGCATGTGCGTATATTTGGAAACAATTTATTTATAGAATTTTCTATGAACCCATATTTAATATATTCTGCACTGTACTGACGCATCTTCTTGTTTACTTGCGACATGGCTTTTTTTTTAAAAAAAGACGCGAAAAATGTTGAGTGCGATCACTTTTAAAAGTTAATTTAGTAGACTGTAATATAGAATTATCCAGTCACCATAAGAAAATGAATAAAAACAACTATTAACTTAGCGATGTATTTTGATCTAATTTACATGCTTCTGCACTCATTACTTTTGCTAGATTCTTTAAATTAATAATAAAGTAAAGATATTTATATGCAAGAATTTTTAAATAATACAATCACCGCAGTTAAAAGTGCGGTCGGTAAATGCTTTTGGGATATGTTAGTATTGAATTTAACTCCAGTATATACATCTAATTTATGTGAGTTGAAAATTGGTATATTAAATTTTTGGTAACAAGCTATAAAATGGCATCAAAATCATTTAAACACTAGGGTGGAGCCAATGCTATATGGAAACACGACCAAACTTATAAAGTATCAATTAATCGTTGGGATACAAATTCTGGTAAGCTTTAAAATGTAAAGTAAAATGTTAAATTTAAAAGCCCCCTAACCCAACATCAACTACTAACATTTTTCGCGAGGCTTTTCGTCGCCCCCTGGAGATCACAATCGCCCACCAGGGGGCGATATCGCCCACTTTGAGAAAGACTCACGACTAACAAGGTTAAGGCAAGGTAAGGCTTTAATCGATCAGCGTGTCACTGCTATTTTTGACGCTCGGGTTCATACATAAGAAAGTCGAATCCTCATCAGTGTATTTTTTAATTTTTTATGTTTATATAGTTAAATGCTACAAAAGATATTTATAATTGTTAACACAATGCATATATTTTGCGAACAAAAAGTGAAATTAGTGACAAATTATGTACTTTCTAAAAATAATCCGCTTCATTGGATTCATATATTTCATTTAAACAAAAATAAACGATGTCTAATAGCGTTTACATTTTGTCCCTAAGGAACGAAAACAGAAAGTTCTAGTTTGCATAATATTTATTCATTGATCAATTTTTGATCGATGATTATTTTTATTTTTCGAATGATCAAATAGGGTAAGGGAAGTTTCAGCAATTTGCCTTAAGGCAGGATGCCTTGCACCACTACTGTATTAGAATTCAATAATTTAACTTATTTATGTATGTATATGCGAATACATAATATAATATTTCAGCGATGATTTCGATTTTTAGGATTTTTTTTGAAGATGGCTATTATGGTCTTGTAGACCATACTAAAATATTACGGCTCCACGACAAATCGTTTGATTTCAAAAATTCGTCAAAGTTTAATAAAATTAGTAGCATGTTTTTGACGTTTAATAAAATTAGATCTTTTATCGATGTTTGCTCAAAAACGCCTGAACCGATTTCAATTTCAAAGCCATTTGATATTTCGGCCGAGCCGTTTCTTTGTAGTTTGCAAAAATGTGTAATATTTTCATCCACGTTTTAGCTCACAATACCGAATCGATTTTTAAAAATCAAAAACTGTTAGAAATATATTGGTTGGGAATAATACTGATTAGTTTTAGGTAAAGATTGACCGAGCCATTTTCTTGTAATTAACTGTTGAAAAAAAATTATATTTTAAGGAAACTTTTTTCGCTGTAGATATCATGGTTTTATAGAACATGTTTAATATTACGACCCTACGGCATGTAGTTTAACTTTAAAAATTCATCAAAGTTTGAAAAAAATATTATAGTCAAAATTTGTGTCAGAAGTTGCTTTTCCAATGTGATAAGTCAAACATTGTCAATTCATTAAAATGTAGAATAATAAACTACCATTTTAGGGCATTCAATTAATATAATACAATTAATATAATTACAGATCATTTAAATGTGTTTGAGATAATTCAATTGGAATTCGCATTATTAAAATTTAATTGAAAACGAAAACTTGATTTTCGAAATAATTAGTTGAACATTTTATCTAAATATCTAAATACCAATTTCGATTAATTAAGTCAATTATTACTCTTATCGGATGTTTTTGCAACTTGCCTTAAAGCAAGTTGCCACTTTCTAATTTTTGTTCAAAAAATTGTCATCCCTCCCTTTTACCCTATAGGGGGCAAACACACCCAATGTCTCATTTTAAATTTTAAGGGATTCTTTGAAATGAAAGCTCCATTATTTATCCCATACCAAATACAAATTTCATTATCACTTTTTTATACAAATTATATGTCATGATATGCTGGGTACAGCGGGAAAGATGCAGATAACAATTTCCATCCGAAACAAAAAAAAACAAAACAAATTTATATTTTGAATAGTTTAGATTCTGGATTTAGTTAAACCTACAAAATGTCAAAGAAGTGAGAAATTCAACTATATTTCCGCAACTTAAAGAAAAAGTACGTTCATGAAAAAAATACTTTAGATCGTTTAAAAAATGGGTTAATTATAAGTTTTTTTTTGTTTTTTAGGTAGAACTAAAAGAGAATTTAATCCTGAATACAATCAATTTTGTCTCGTTTCAATAGAACGTTAGACTTTTTTTTCATCTTTCCGCCAATTAGATAAAATCGAAAAAATGAAAAACCGAGAAATCCTGTTTGACGCTGTTAATTTGAATTTGTTTTTGAAATTGTAGGGATATCGATTTTCTAAGCCTCTAAAGCTTATTTATTTAGTATTATCTTATTTTTTACACTTTTGTCATGGTAAAGGTTCAGTTGGTCCTTTTTACTCCACCACACGTAATCTTTCATAAAAGTTATAACTATACAAATGAGTTTTTTTTAGAGTATAGGCTTTGAAAAAAATATGATTTGCGACCCGATTAATAATGTTTGTGTGCATAAAACTGCAAATAAAACTACTTACTACAAATAAATAATATTTATCTAAAACATCCTATTAAATTTAAGTGAACTATCTGTCAAAACCATTTTACATTAAGCTTCTACAAAAAAAATTAAGTAAAAAATATAAGGTTCCTACGTGGTTTTGCAATAATGACTCACTTCTTGTACAATCTCTGGATTAGCACAAATATTTCAAGACTGAAAATGACCAAATCGGTTCAGCCATTTCCGAGTTTTAGCGGATCTAACATTATGTCGAGGTCCATTTTCATATGTTATATAGATTAAAAATTTTCAAAAATATTTTCAAACTTTTAAGCATATGACTAATTTTAAACATACTTTTTATCCTTATATATAGTCCTTTATTTGCTTTCTATAAAATATATAATTTATGTAAAAATCTAAAATGCTGACCTTAGCCAGGTTTGTAGTATCTTATTTTATTTATTTAAATTCCTCTAGTGTTAATAAACTTTGCTTCTACTTTATTTTTTAACAGTTAACAAAACTTAATGTTAATTCGATTTATCGCTAAATATATGTACCTTAAGATTTCTCTTATTAACTTACCGTACGGTAAGTTTATAGTATTCGCAAATCATGCTGCATATTTTTATGATTCAATGTTTCTGAATATTTTGGCATACCTTAGAAAAAAAAAGTATAATTTTTGTATAGTGAAAGAAATGCTATTAGGCATCCCAAACTAGGTCTCTTGTCTGGGTATGTCGGGCTTAATGCCCATTATATTACTGGTCGGTAATAT